ATAATCGCGTGATTAGAAACTGTTAAATCTTTTACAGTTTATAGATAATATATCCAGCCTTATTTCTAACTTTTGTTAACAATCTTCTCTTCTAATTTCAAACTTTTTCAATCAATCTTGTCAACTAGATTTTAAAAATCTATTCGTTTAATTGAATAAATGGAAAAAAATGAAACGACAAAAAATAGAACCTTATTTTAAATCTCATTTATCGCACTTTAAATCATAAAAACATAAAAAAGTAAAGCTTATCTAACTTAACTTTTATAAATATTCCAATGCTCATTTCCATTTATTTCTTTATTCGTTTATTTATCGATTACGGATTATTATTTATTTCTTGTTTAATGGAAAAAAAAAAGTCCTTGCAAAATCGTTATGAGCAAAGTTATGGGCAAAAAGCGATTAGTTAAGAAGCCGTTTCTTTTTTACAAGTTCTTCTTTTGATATGTTAAGAATCGTTTTGTTTTCGGATGTGTTAAAAATTTCCATTTGCTTAATTCTGTCAACAATAATATTTTAAGTCAAATTACCAAATACATCTGATGATAACAATAATAATAATTATTATAATAATGATTAATGATGATAAAATGGTGATGATAATAATAATCATTATAATAATGAACTATAATAATAATAACTTTAATAACGATAATTTTTAATTTTACTATTATTATCATTATCATTGTGATTATTATCATTATTGATCAATAATTACATTGTAAAATTTATATCAAATTTTCATTTTCTCTTTCCTTCTTTCTTTCTTTTTTTTTTTAATCCTAAACTATACTAAAAATAAATATCAAAGTATTAAATAATTGCATTAAATATTGTTATGACAAGTTATTATGACGATCACCATGATGATCATAACAACAACGATAACGATTACAACGATTACCATATCATTTTTAAATGATTCATACATCACCCAACTAACATTTTTGTTGAGCCAAATTGAATCAATTGATGAAAAGGAAAAAAAAAGGTGCTAAGAACCTGTTTTAGCACTATTTTTCGTTCCATTTCATTACACATTAACTTATCATCATCTTTTGAAAAAACGAACTTCTCATCTTGTGAGACCGTCTAATTTCTTATGCATAATGGTGTATATATATATATATATGTATATATATATATATGTGTGTGTGTGTCTGTGTGTATGTGTGCGTATGTGATGTGTTTGATTTGAACATAATATTGGCACTTGAAATATGGTCTGAATAAATACTTGAAATTGATTTAAATTGACACTTGAAAAAGACGAAAAAAGGAAGTCATAAGTCGATAAGGGAAGTAAATTGACACCATTTCTATTTTTGTCATTGTAACAACATTCAACATTTCATTATTATTATTATTGTTATTAGCATCTTTGGCAACAATGACAATTTTTTTATTTGCTTTAAAATAAAATAAATCAGCAAAATGAGCAACTGTATCATTTTTTATAAACCAAAAAAATTTTATTTCGCTTCCTTTTTTTTGATTGATATTTGAAAAAGTTAAAATAATCTTACAGAAGCTTTAATTTGAAATGCGAAAATTTTCGAACTATTTGTTTTTATTAATTTTTAATTCGCATTTTTTCCATTAGCTTTTTTTTCAGTTATTTTAAATATGTATTTTTAAATGATTGGTATTGTAATTAATTAGTGGAAGAGAATGAGGAAATATTTGAGATATAATTGCAATAAATTATAGTGATAAAAGTGTGGATTTAATTTTTACTAATTTAATAAAATTACATAAAGAAAAAGGTAAAAATTGTATTGTAGCGAAAATAATTTAGAATAGATTGAATAATGAAACATATGCTAACCGTTATCAGTTAATTCATCCTGTATTATTTTCAACTGTTGATTTGGCTTATCATTCGGAATTATTTTCCTTGGTTTGATTAGCGATGCTTCAGATCTATTACAAACAATTATTTCCTCACCAAATTCAATATTACGGAGAACAATTCCATTCCGAATATTTGCTTCGTCAATGTTTGCCGTCTTACACAATGATTGCCATTTTGCTGGCATCTAAATAATCTGTTAGTAACAACGATACGATACTTCATCAGAATCATACTTAAACTTGAACATGAATTGAAATAAAAGATGAAATAAAAATAGAATTAAAGAGAGAAAGATCCTTCAAGGTCATAGCCAAAGCAGAAAACGATAAGATTAAACGACTAACAGTAAATTGATCACCGGTATTGAAACCATCTGGTGCTGAGCAAAATACCACATGAAAATATCGTCCAGCACATAAAAAATGCAGTAGTAGGACATTATCACAGTATTCTCTCGTTGATAAAATATCGTTTATCACTGTAAAAAGAAAATTATGCAAAATTCATTTTGCTCTTAATCTTCTCTTACATATTTTAAGCATTCTGATCAACGAAGTTCTTGTTTTCCATCCAACTATTAGTATTTATCATAATTGATACTTGATTAATGATTGGTATCGTCCAAGAATTATCACCTCGTATTAAGCATAAGTCAAAAATATTTTCTTCCAGTAATTAATAAAAATATGAGCATTTAAAAGCTTCATAGATAAAAAACACACACACACACACATATTTATGCACACATAGAAATAAACCTAAATACTCTCACAGAAATTATTGTTGCAGTGACTACAGTACCTTACTAGTGATAATATCTATTTTAATCAAAGAATATATATGCAGGACAGTTTTTTTGATTGAGATTACATGATGAAAAATTACATGATTAAATTTGCAAATATGCAATTTCAACTTATATGCATTAAATAAAAATTTTTATGAAATAAAAATAAAACGAAGATACTATATGATTAGGGTACTGTACATTATAGATAAATTATTAAATAGATTTAACATGCAAAAAAAATGATTTTAAATCATACCGGTTTCATTTGAAGTTAACTGTAATTGAAGGTTAATTGTTTGAAGTTTATCACCACGTATTAATGTAATGGTAAACGGTATTGTTGACATGAAAGGATCAGTTGTAAGAAGTGAAGGTAACGATAATGCAGATGATAATGATAATGATAATGATGATGATGATGATGATGGTGGTGGTGGTGGTGGTGGTAGTGGTGGTTGTACTGGTTGTGGTGGTTGTACTGGTTGCGGTGGTTGTACTGGTTGTGGTAGTGATACACTTTTTGATAATATTCGCCCACGAAATGATGAAGAAGCTTGTGATAGAAATGGAAAGATGAGATGATCAGATGAAAAATTCTGGAACCATATGGGTAATACGTTATTACTATTATTATTATAGTCATTATTGTTACTACTATTGTCATTACTATTTTCAAACAGTGAAATAGATTTTGATGACTGAATTGAATACATGCTGATGATAATGATAATGGCAATGGTAGTGGTAATGATGATGCGACAAGTGATCACTACCACCTTTCTGATCATTTATCAAACTACAACTATTACAGTTACAGTAGGATTTGTTGAATAATAGGATAGGAGTTGTTTAAGACTAGATCCCCATTTTCATCCTTTTTCTTCTCAACGACTCTTTATTCCCCGGACAATACGGGCGGAGTTAGCTGCTATCTATTAGATGCCAAACTACTATATTTGATATTAGCAAAAAAGCAAGATTCAATTTGCTCTTAAAGTCTTACTAAGCATCATCATTATTCTCCCATTTCTTCTTTCCACATGAAAAAAAAAAATGAAAAGAACCCTACTAATATCATCAAATAGATCTGTTCTATATTACTACCGTAATCTTACCAAATGAATTATAGAATTTGGTTAGGAGGGATTGAATCTAACAATTCTATTCATCTATTTATCATATTGATTCACATTTATTTGCATAATTGAAATAATAGATAAATTTAAAAAAAGAAGAATTAAAATATTTTGGTTAAATACCGTAATAAGATATTCTAGCCTGGTGCACTTATTTTACTTCTAGTCTAACTTATCCTATCAAATATAGCTAACACTATTACATCATTTTACCATCCACTAACTAACTAAGCTATGTAACCTCCATTAGACCAAATGTCAATTGAGAAAATGTAATTAACTTTTAGAGGGGCGAATTATACCGAATGCTATTTTCATTTCATCATATTGGATAATACAATAAGGTTACATTACAATATTCTCATGCTTATCCTCTAATTACATCCGTTCAATTACTAGTCGTATTAAGAAACCAAAGCTTTCATTTCTAATATTCAATTATTAGTCTGTTGACCTTTAATCCTTTTTCTTTTTTTTTCACCTATTTATCTTGTTCTATTTCATTAATCTCTCTTTTGTCTTCATAATGTTTCATTTTGAAAAAAATTTTTAGCTTACAGTATGCAATCTTATACAATTAAATGAAATTTTTCTTAATTTTTCTGCTTCTAAAAAAATATAAAATGCTTGTTTTAATTTACCGTTATTACTATACGTGTGATCTTTAGTAAAAATTTCGCACTAATATTTAAGCATATTCTGTTCATCTGAACTACTAAAATATTAACTTTGCAGTGAGAAAATTTCATCTTTTCGAATTTAATTCAAAACAAGTTAAACAATCCATGCTTAACATCGTTTATTCTCTCCTTTTTTTTCCATTTCGTTTCTCGATAATCAAAATGAATGAAAAATGATGTGTTACAGTTTTGTGCCAAATGATTTGTAGACAAAAGATTCTGCCAATAATGAAAAGTAAAAGATAGCAAATTGATATATATGCGTGAATGCCTGTAATTTTTTATGCTGTTATTCAATTCCTGAAGAGGTAAAATTATTCGTGTAATGATAATTATGCAAGATAATAATTATCATGCAGCTATGTCAACACAGTTTTTAGATTATTAGATTATTTCCTTGACACATCGATTGATACACATTAAAAGCCTATTCCAATACATACACAAACTTTCTATTTGTCGAATATTATTTAATTTTTCTTCATATTTTAAATTTTTTATAGTTTAGAAAAAAATTTCAGAAAAGATAAATCTTTGTAGAGGAAGAGAAAAAAAAAGGAAAACAATTTTATTTCTATTAATTAATAAATGATGCACAAACCACATGCTCATCAATATTTGCAATTAATAATTGCAGTGCAATGAATCCAATTGTTGTATAAAAAATTGCCAAAAGTACGTAGGGAAAAGTTAAGCCAAATAACATTCCAATTAGTATATGACAGGAAAAACTACCAATAATTGTTACTAAGATTAATAATGAACGTTCACTAAAAAAATAAAATAAAAATCAAAATATAAAGAATAGATTAAATTAATTCAATTAACTAATTCTTTTCTAAAAATTCTATCATACCGTAATTCTTGGATATATGCTACTGTATTCCATAAACCTCAAAATCTTGCACTTGCTTTGTATTTTTCAGCTAACAGCAGTATTATTATTTAAATTATAATTCAGTGAGGTATTTCATGGTTTAAAATCATATTCACTTGATACAGTACCACCACACTGTAGCACCACGTGATAAGAATAATAATTGTAAAATGTATTAACAACAAAAAATTGTTTTAATCGAAATAGCTATGAATTGTTGAAATTGAACATATGAAAAAACAAAATTTTACTTTTTTGCTGTTAATTGAAGTATTGGCCCAATAGTACCAATAAAACACGGCGTTAACGCAGCAAATGGAGATAAACTATGAAGTACACGATTGGAGAGTATATAACCTGTTAATAAACCCTACAAAGAAACTATTTAGCCTAATTTCAATTTCTATCTTTCACGTATATACATTTCTGTATGTACATTACTTCAATCACAGCAAGTGCAAGTAATGCATGTCGTAACATCATATCATTCCATGCATATTTCTTAACTGATAAATTGTTGATATAATGACATGTTATCAATGGTAAAAGAACATAAGCGCAAAGAGTGGCCATAAAACTGCTGAAATAATAAGAATTTTATCAATTGTTTTTTTTGGAATAAATAAAAAGGTTTAATGAGGTTTAGATTTTTAAAAATGTTTCACTAGTTTAGAATATTTAAAGCTTTTTTTTGTCTTCCATAAAATTATTATCCCAATTTGTTTGAATATCTAAAATAGTAGGAATATGAATTATTATTCATCATGCTGAATTAGTATTTAAATAACGGTAATAAACATTGTATTATTTTATATATTATGCAATACATTACATTGAAAATAGATAACATTTATGTTACCCTATAATTTGTCTAATTAAAATTGAAAAGAAATATGCGGAGAGAGTTGAAAAAATGGAATGTGTTAGCAGGAGAAAGGCAGTCCATATAAATGTTTGCATTATCTTTTCAGCATCATATTTTACGGGTGTCATATTGGTTATTACATTCAACAGTTGCGATCTCTTCTTGTGCATTTGTGGTTGTAACAATTTAAATTTTTGCTGATAATGTTTAATCTGTAAAACAGATTGTTTCTAGCCCGGATGACCATTCTTATTACTAATAATTACTTATGCTGAAAGCGAATCAAACTTAACTGATTTATTTCTGATTAAAATTTTCAAACTTCACTTCACTGTATTATTAATAGCCCAACAAAGTCAAAATTGTCAATTAAACACTGACATTTGATATTCCCGGACAATATACAGATTTTCTTATTTCCTGATAGTAATTACCTTCCCGTACTCAAATATTCGCCAACTCCCACTCTTCTAATTTATGTAGTAACTTTCGCTCTTCCAATTTATACAGTGAGCTTTCATATACATATATATACATATATACATACATATATATATATATATATATCTTTTCTTCCTCCAACTTGCATTCACTCATTTGTTATTATTACAATAATCTCACCTGATTTTCAATTTCTCTACGAATAAAACGAGTTTGAATGCAAAGCAGTGTATAATCATCCAACATTTCAGTCTTGTATTGTTGAATTAATTTTTTCAGGTTCTGCATAATGCTTATCAGATTGAGAAAATTTACGAAATTTTTATCCAAATGAACTATTTCATGGGAAAAAAAACGAGCAACGAGCAAATGTTACAAACGCAATTGGTACAAATAACCACACGACGTAACACAACTGAGCAAGAATGAAAAACGAGTGAATCTAAACATCGCTTTAAAACTTCGAGATCAATCTCTACTGCTGTAAATGCAAATTTTAATATTCCAGCATCCACATCAAGTGTCCTAAGTGATGCAAGAAATGACTCTTTTTCCTTCTTAACTATTAAATTACCACTAATTATCATCATCAAATGCAGGAAAAACCAAATGGCATATGAAGCAAATGGACTAAACTCAGGATCTATCCATCATACTCTTCCATTTTCTCATGACTACCAATGCAACTGGTGTCCACTATTTCGTTTTGTCTAGCAAAAAATCAAATTTGTGAAAATCTTTATCATACGAAGTGTGATACAAATTAGATTTTAACTCTTGATTTTTCTGATTTTTTTTCTGCTGCTTTACGATTTGCTTTTTCTTGTGCCTAAAAAACGATTGTAATAGAAACATTTCGTAACTTGAAAATTCTGCACGTTCAAGAAAGAGATCCCGAGTCGAAGATTTGATAAACTAGCACATTTCGAAATCTTGAATAAATCAATTACATAAAAAAAAGAAAAAAAAAACAAAAATACCTCCTGCACCAACGGTACCAGTCTCCCTTCTTTAGCTAATACCTTTAATAACTCGACAATGAAAGGTATATAGTTATGGCGACGTCTGATATTTTCTGCTTTAAATGATTTTTCCTTTTCTTCTTCAGCAGTAATCAATGCCTGAAGATGATTCATTTCTTCCATCTTGCCATCCGTCTCCATCGTCGACTGAAAACCAAAACATTTGGGACATCTGAATATTTCAACAAAATGAAAAAAATCAAATCCTGAAGAGATACAACAATCTTTAATAATATACATTTGAGCACCTCATAACTATTTGGAGTTTTAAAGTTACGTAGTGTCGAAGTAGCGTTGACAGAATATGATCCCACATTTCATGCAAATGATTGTGCAAACATCGTTTAAATGAATAAAAACATGATTTTTAGGCAATATCACGTATGCAATAGCGAAGTTACGAAAACTTACTTCTGCGAGTTCGGTTAATCGTTTTTGGTATTTCATTTTTCGATCCGAAATAAGAGCCATAAGATTGAAATGAATTTCGCCAGCACTATATCTTAAAATACTTTATAGTTGAAGGCTACTATCATAATCACTATGTCTCAACGATAAGCTGGAGGTAAACTTACTTTCGGATTCTAGCGTTGATAATTGGCCGCACAGCATCCACCCAATCTTCACCCTCTCTAATAACGCCCAAATCTAGCGGTGCCTCACGAAGCCCATCCAGCTCATAAATATGATCATCCACGGGGACATAAGTTATGAAATGATAATTATCTTCCTAAAAATACTGGAATAAATGTGATCTTTACTAGAAAATCAAATGTTTATCAAAGATGGAAATGATTAAACTCCCTATCGCTGACCACATCAACTTTTGTATACCAAATGAATTCAGCCTATCATTGCAGAAATGGCTATTTTAGAATGATGCAGTGATGCAAAGACGCGCCATCTTTTAGTATTTCCGAATAATAAATACATTCCATTTTGCCATACTAAATGCACAAACAATGAGAAACCTTTTCTGGAGCTTTAATATCCAATTCAAAAAGATGTTGTCGTGAAAAACTATTATGGACTTTTCTAATTGGTTCGCTGTTGCCTAAACATAAACCACGATTCTGAAAGTGAATAATCACATAATGCCAGAAGTACAATACTGAAATCACTACAATCCATCCATTTACTTATATATTACATAAAATTTCGGGATGTAAGAACATATAGCTCTTTTCCCTTTCGTATTATAGTTTAATTCTAAATCTAAACCTTGACCGAATATGTTGCAACCAGCATGGAGAAATTTTTGAGAATGAGCATAAAAGATGATTAATTTTACTTCATTTATATGAAAAAATGTGTTGTGGTACAGAAATACTTTATTTTTGATCCTTTTAGGAACAAAAGGCACCTATGCAGGTTTGATATAAATATTCTGGACCAACAACGATATCCACATTATTTAATATTAAATATTTACCATAGGGTCAAAATTTTGTGTGAAATTTTTAAATTCCTCCAGAATTGGACCGAGTACGATACCTGATTCTGCCTTAGTATTTAGTAGTAAATTTATTATTGCTTGTGTAGCACATGCATTCTGGATCACCTACAATGTGAAATGGTTACATTTCAGCAACTGTACAGATGCTTCATTAATACCAGTAATTAACAATAATAATAATGCAACTGACACCCTTGTTTTCTAGACCTACTTACCAAAAGATGAAGATAGAGAAATCATCTTTCAATATTTTATAAAAATTTAAAACAGGTCAAGGGAAGAATCCATTATTAAGCAAATGAAACAATAATAATAATGCAACTGACATCTATTACATAGTAAGCAAATGAACAACCTGCTGTGCAAAGAAAACTCGATTATTGTCGAGGACCAAGCTACCACAAGGCTCTTCACCTGCGCGCCATTTAAATAAGAATATCAGCCCATGAACTGGCCTAAAATAATCCATCGAAACTAACCCAATTACACAAAAGCAGAGCTTCAAAAGACTCACTTACTTCAGATCGCTGAATAGTTCCTTATCTAGGCTGTATAGTTCTTCAACTTGCACACCGGAAACACCAAATCCACGAACCAATTCAGTGAAAACACCTGGATCTGACTCAATTAAGCACCAATTTCCAGCATCTGACATGATCTAAAATAAAAAAAATCTATCAACAATCGTACTCATAAAACACTGCATCCCAAGCATACCGTCAGCTTACGTCCAAAATGCATATATAAATGAATTGTGAAACCATATAGAAAATGAAAAAAACAGAACACATAGATATAATTTATTCATGTCAAGCATTTAAATAGCACAGCGATATTTCAATGAGGAAAAAATCGACCGGAATGCAATAACAAAGGTTTCGTAAACAAGAATCAAAGCATTACGAAAGAACGAACGTATATCGATTCCGACATGTCGAGGTAAAATAACCTTTGCTATAACACTTCAAAAAACATATATTTATCAGATACATTTGATCTATCAAAAACACATTTGCAGAAATCACTTATTTAATATCATGCCTTTTTTTACTAAGAGTAATATTTACAATTCCACTTACAATTAATAGTATGTAAACATCTTTTTTCACTTTAATATTTAAAAGTCAACATCTTGATCTTTAAAATTGTCATATGAATAGCATTATAAACTGAATCCAACAAGATAATTTTTTTGATCGAACAAATCAAAAAAGATCTTACTGGATTCAATCTATAGAGCTATTCATGTGATGCTATGCATAGGACAGTTTTAAAAATTGAGAAATTGTCAATTATCAGTAATGCGCGTACAATTGTAAAATATTGGACTGTCACACTCACATCATCATTGAAATAAGTCTGCAAATGTTAAAAAAGTAGGGAGAAAAGTTGAAAAAAGAGAATATTTCAGGATTTCATATTCTTCTCCATGTTCTTCTGACATGCTCTGAAATAGGTAAAATGGTATAGTAACAACATATATAACTCTTCCGAATTAAAAAATTTGCTCGTATACTACATACAGAAAGATAAAACTTTGCCGTGACACGATAAGTGTCCGAAATATATCCTGCCCTACCACCTTGTTGGTGTTTTATCAGTTAAACCAAAATGAAAAATTTTAAATTGGATAAACAGAAATGATGACGCATTCTGCCTGGTAAACAGTTGCTCCATTCCTAACTGAAAACCCCACACGATAAAATTTTTTATACAGATGAAAAATGAAAATTATGGTTCACATTATCCACTCTAAGTATAACTAATAATTTGAAATCTCACTTTTTCGCCTTTGTTGGACAATGTTCTTTATGTCTTCGACAATGGTGGTGCCGCAAATGATGTTTGCACTTATATCGATGACCACCATGCTTCCGCTTCTTATCACTCGTATGACTGGATCTTGTGCTAGACTTTTCTCTTGATCTACCCCTACAATTAATAATCAAAATATGGGTGGTATTGATCTTGTTACAACTATGTCATGCAAAAGAATTTAGTTGTCACTGTAGCCACTATTATATATGTTAAGAGCGAGGAACTATGTAAACAAATAATTTTTGATGGAAAGTAGTAGCAATCTGCCAACAAAGAAATTGGTAAGTATATCTTCATATTGATTTATGGTGTAACTCTTTCTTCCGAAAATCTCTATAAAAATTAAAGGTCTATAAAAATCAAAATTAAATAAAAATTCAAAAAAATCAAATTATCTAATCAACTCATGCTTGGCAGTGTTCATAAATAGAAGAAATTCCATTATATAATCTGCGATGTTATTTTAAGATCTTAATAGTAATGTGACAATGAACGATTTACTGACCTGGAATCCCGTCTCCTTTCTCGAGCTCGGTCGTTTTCTCGTGATCGTCCTCTAGTTCTGTCCCTCTCTCTCTCCCTGTCACGTTCACGAGACTTTTCTCTATCTCTTTCTCTATCCCGCTCCTTTGATCTCTCTCGCAAACGGTCTCGTGATCGACTTCGACTTCGATGTCTATCATGATCAGCTTCTCGATCTCTGCATTGGAAAATTTATTTCTTTTAAAATATACAATTCCAAACTTATTCCAAAAACTACTAATATGGAATTATTTAAAAATTTTAATAAAAGTTAAGGCAACCAAAGAGTGGAAGAAACAAAAAATCATTAAAGAATAAAAGTTACCCATGTTCTCGTTGATAATCTAATTTTGCTTTTTCTCGAAATTTTAATTCAATTTCTTTCTGTAATTTCACATTTTCAAAAACACTGTTTTCAAATGCGATAAAATTCGCCAAATTTTTTTATTCTTACTCTGTTACATAATTAAATTAGAAATGATTAAACTATTTTACTATGATTTACTTCAGTATGGTATTGGAGAGATGAAACATTTAATAATAGATTTACCTCAGTATTGTAACATTGAAATATTTCTTTTCTCAATGTAATGGAAAGCCCTACGCTGAAGATTTTTTATTTTTCTGAAAAGTCTTTATTTTCATCGTATTCAGTTTTTACAGCAAAGATTTAGGAGAAGAAATTCATCGTTATTAGTTATACCTGAATTGGAACAGGGATTCGAGGAAACAGTGTACCATACCAGTCCAGTTTCGTTAGCATCATCTTTACAACTTGCGCCATTGCCATCACATCACCACCACCAGAACGTGGATCGATTTGTTCTTCATCATCCTAAAAAAATGTAGAATTAATAGCAACACATTTCTTCAAAAAGAAAAAAAAAACTATCTTTGAGTAAATGAAATGAAAGCGTTTCATTGCAGAATGAATATTTTAGGGCCGATCCGTTATTGACACTTACTAAATAAGGTTCCATCCAAGCCCACAAGTCTTGCGGTGGTTGACAAAATCGGATATACATAAAACCGATGCCTCGTATATAAGGTGAATCGCTGTTATTAATCATACTAACCAGCTGTTTTCTAAAATTTTGAGATGAATTACGCAGTCTCAGAAATGCTTAATAATGTGACTCTGAAAAAAATAGGAGATACTGACAACAACAATTCCAGCTTACAATCAGTAATGTTTCAATGCAATATTTTTAAGTCGCAAATTTTTTGCTTACCTATAAACATGATATAAAATATCACTGAATATATTTTAAAATTCAAGCAAAAATGTACCAAAAATGAAGTGAAATCTATTACTCAGAAAATCCGTTGAAAAAATAAAACACTTGTTACAACCTTTATAGGTTATAACAAGTATATAAAGGTAAATCGTAACTCACTGTTAAATCCATACCTGGACAGTCGAATCGTAAAAAGCTTATAAAGAAGACAAAATGCTGTACTCACCACTCCACCAGCGCCAACACCTCGTACCTAGAGGTTAACTTGCATAACTTGCATAACTTGCATAACTTGCATACATAAAATAATTACGATTACCACACTTTGATTTCAATTAATGAAAGTGTGCCAAGACAAGAACGAATACCACTTAAGCGACTGACCCCGCCGCACATGCCGGTCATTCCTTGTGTCTTTCTTGTACCACGTTCCCATGGTTCCAGATGCTTCACCTGAAAAAAAAGTTACTAAGCACAAAACTTTGGTTATCAAGAAAGTTCAATTAAATTATGAAATTATGTATCCTTCATTCCGGAACTGTAGTTTTTACCAAAGATTAATAGCTCGAAATACAGAAAAGCAGCCGAACAGCCGTATTTCAGAACATAAGAAAATAAAGTATAACTTACGCTGTAATAGATTTCTTCTGTAAGTTGTTGAAATCCTGTGGTTTCCGAAAGATAGTTTTTGTAATATGTGCACTGGATAATATTCTCCAATACCAAAGCGTTTAAATTCATTGTTTGCGTATTGCCCCACAATGGCAAAATGTTGTTTTTCTTTGTTATCTTCTACAAAACATAATGAAGAATTATGGACCAAATTGCTGTTATAAACAGAAGACATACACTACTCTATTACAGCAAAGTGCACCGTAAAAATCGAATAAGCTAATTCTTGTTCACTATTTACTAAATTAACTAATTTATTTAACTGATATACATAAATGAGATACTAAAAGATTAGGTACATTTATATGATTTACTATAAGCAAGAGTAAATTGACCAAATTGGCTCATAAATGTCCATTCGTACGACTCTCTCAGTTAACTTTTCTTTCTTGTCACTGGAAGGCCTAACTTGATGAATCAGTTTATCAAACATTGAAATATACTGCACCTGTATATCCGGTATAGTATTATCTGTCAGATCATCCTCATACATCACGTCGGTACCACCGGTACCAAGTCCTGCGATAAGCAGTGCAGCTGCACCACCATCTGCAGCTGACATATATCCACCTCAATGTTTTTCACTTGCTAGAAAAAAAGCTTCGTCCTGAACTTTAATTTATCATTTTCATCAGTACATCATAAACCCGAACGAATGTTACAACTTCTCGAAATGTTACACTATTTCCATTGCTTCCTAAGCCATCCTCTCCTCATTCAACCAAAGTAAAACTCTTCCAGAAAATCTCATCATTCATTTCCTTAGTCACATCTAATCTATAACATTATGTCTAAGCAAATTAGCCCATATAAAACTGATATCCTCTCATCCAATCACACCTATACCTCCGCAAATACTACCCACGTATACAACCACGTCGTCAGACACGCTCGTGTCACCATTACCATATGAAACGAGAATTGAGGCTCTATGAAATTGCTTGGATCGTATCAATAAACACATACATTTTGGAAAATATTGAAAGAGAAAAAAAAAGTCCTTCAGAAGGATTTCCTTCGTTGCTGATGGATATTTCAGCACGTAAAGGAATGTTATTAGGCTGAGAATTTTTCTCACTTAAATAGTTTTAGGAAAATTTTCGAAAAAAAAAGAAAAGTCAATGATTTCGTGATTATAAAATGAAGATGAGTGTAAATAAATGTTTGATGACATCTAAAAATTAATCGGAAAATATCACAATTGTTAGCAGTAAAAAAAGAAATTGAAATGAAGTAGAAGCATTTATAATTGTCAAATTTATGCTCAAAAAAAAAACTAATCCTTTGATTTCATACAATCGTGCAGTTAAAACACTTTGTAATTGCAATTTGCATCAATATTTCTTCATCAACCAATTTTATCATTTTTTCTCATGTCCAAGTAAAGATTATTTGTTGTATAATATTCAATTGATAGCAAAATATTTTAATTACAATTCATATAAACATTTTTTTCTTCAAAAAATTTTGCCCCTTTTTTCATACATTCATACAGAGATTATTTTATAATATTTCATTTGTTAGTAAAATTTCATTCTAAAAAAAAAGACGAAAAAAAGCTCTGAGCCAAATATAATATTTGAAACATTGTTATTATTGTATTACATGTAATAGTAATTGAATAAATTATAATAGTAATTGAATAAATTATATTTATACATTCCCTTGAAATTAATAATGAATTTTTTTACTTTCTGCTTTCCTGATTAAAAATTATCAACTTCACACTTCAATAATTTTCATCTAATTGTTTTGCTATCACCAATCAGTTGCAAAACACATAATAACTTCATCTGATGATTCATTTAAAATGAAAATTCAATAAAATGATGAAATTCGTGATTGTTTTTTTTTTTCGCCTTTCTCTTCAGCCATTTTTGACATTATTGATTCGTACTACACGGCACCATATGTTAATGTTAAAATACAAAATTCACTTCCTCGCTGTCTCTCAAATTTTGTTCAAATTTTTCACTTCCTTTCCATGTCTATCTTCCATTCTATTTTATTTATTCCATATTCATCAATTTTTTCCTGCTCAGTCAATTTATATCGTTTCTCTTTTCTCTCTCTCTCTCCCTCTCTTTCTCTTCCTCCCTGTCTTTCTGTCCTTTGTAGTTGTCATTTAATCAGTCCTGTTGTTATTCTCTTGCTGCTAAAGTTTACAACTCTTCATCATAGCAGTTTGAACATGGTAAGCTATTAATTAAATTTTTTAATGATTGTATTAGCTCAATGGATTGAAAGATTTTGTTACGGTACTGTTAATTTTCCCCGTATTTCTTAGATTTTTCGGTATTGATTTGGTATTTGTGAAGTGGAGTAGTATCATGTCCAAATTTTACATATAGCATCATTGAAGTGGGAATAATTAAAATAATGTAATATCCTATCAGATTTTTTAAATTATTAAATAATTGTTTTGTTCAGATATTTGCTTTTTCAGTTGCAAAAAAATTTTTTTTTCATGATGAAAGAAAAAAAATATAACAAATTTTTTATTTAACCTATGACATAAAACGTTTTGAATGACATATATAATAAAAATGTTGCTTATATTTTTTACGACAGAATGAGAAGGCCTAAGATATGATATCATTTTATCAAATTATCTCATATTTCTAAGGTCAAAAATTTGAACATTCTAAGCAATTTTGAATTTTAAAACAGATTTCTGTTACTAAAGTTTGCTATTTTGAATTGAAAATATAAAAGAGAAGTGGAAAGAATGCAAAATTTCTCTTCTAACATTATATACTAGCTAACATTTTTATTACGAATTTATGCAAAATCAATGTATGAAAAAGATTTTTTCATTCTTTATCAAAATGAATTGAAAATGTTGCTGTCACTATATGAAGAAAGAAATTGAAATTAAATATGTGAAAAATAATTTTTTGTAATTTAAGATTGAAACGTCTTGTATTTATTTAGCTTGGCAGACAAACATTATAAGTAATTAGTTTGTTTGTTTTTTTTTTTCTCATTAGTACTATTATATATTACTGGGGATCAGTGTTTCATCAAAGTTTTTTTGTGCTATTTCGTAAAATATTTTTTAGGCTCATCCAGGTGACGCAGCTGTTCCAGTTCCCTACATTTCAAAGCTTGGCACTAAATTGCAACCTGGCCAAACTCTTGTCGCTCATGGTACCATTGACCTTGATGCAGCTGAGTAAGTAAAACTAATTTCCATAAAGTAAGATAAATTGAATTTTCCTGAAATTATGCTAATTTCTGCCAAGAAAAAAAAAACGATTTTACAAATGATACCTTTGATGTAATCTGTCATCTAAGTATTGTTACTTTGTTGGAGCAAATTGTATATATTCGCATTTATGTGAACATGTTTATGCAAAATTAATAAATAATAATGATCGGAGCTAAAATTTGTTGTATAATCAAAAATTTTGATGGGAAACAAAAATTGATGCACAACAGATTTTTTTTGAAAGTTTTTTAAATTAGTAAAATAGGTTACTTAGGTAAATATATAAGCCAAAGCATTTCATAATCATATTTATTGGTAATACTGGAATGTCATATAAAGGTATTACTGAAGATGTCATTAGAAATTAGTCATTTTGAATCTATTTTAATAATTCATTCATTCTCATTTGCTCATTTATACGTACAGCATTTTATAGATTTGAAGTGAATCTATTAAATGGTTCACCAAATATCGAATCATCAAAGGCTACCATTTTTCATATGAAAGTTAATTTTAAAGAAAACAGAATAGTATACAACACTTACGAGGTTTGCAATTTACCTTCAAAAATGATAAAATCATGAAAATCTCAATGCATTTGTTAAAGAATATTTCGATAAAGTTTTACAATTTGTCGCAATCTAAAATACAAATGATAAATATATTAATTTTAAGGCATTTGTTATTGTCAGTTAATGCTCATTAGTAGTTTTAAGAAAAGTAACAGATGATTTTTATCTTATTTTAATGAACATTTTAAAGTATATTTTCATTGGATAAAAAGTATTGATTTCACTTCGTTCTAACTATATGATTTATAAAAAAATTAGATTCTGTGATTTCACACAGAAAGAAATATTTGTTTTTTTTTCCTTACCGTAAGATATTTTCTCAAATAATTAAGGGAGAAAGGTGTATGGTGATATCATTAAGGTAATTAATAATTAAAGTTTTGCAAAGATTAAAATGAAACGTTTTATAAATTAACTAATTTCTTTGAAAGAGAGGGAGAGAGAGAGAGAGAGAGAGAGAGAAAGAGTTATCCGCATCGAAGTACGTTCAGGTGTATTGCAATAAATAATCATGAATAATGATCTTGCATTAATTTCTATTATTTTATATAATATTCATTTTCATTTGCATGAAATTATTTAGAACGGTAAATGGGGTAAGGAAGAGAAATCATCGAATCCGTTTAAAAAAGGTGACGATTTCGATCTTCGTATACGCATTCACGAGAATGAACTGGAAATTTTCGGTAATCAGAAAGAACTTCATACTTACAAAACTCGTATCAATACTGATTCCGTGGATTATTTAGCTATCCGCGGAAATGTCTCACTAAAGGGTGTACATTGGGGTGGTCAATACTATACTTTACCATTTGAAACACAATTCCCAGGAGGATGTCTAAATGCCGGTGAGTTATTTTATCATGAAAATTTCAAAAAAGAAAAGATTTATAACTGCAATCATAATTTTATCCTATCATATAAAATCAACTCAATGATTGAATTATTGATAATTTATAAATGATTCAAAAAAAAAAGATTTAAAAAAAGACTTAAAATGTCTTCAATTACCTTAAAAGAAGGAACGAAACTGTATCACAGTAGCTCTAATTGTAGATCATTTACTTTATTTAATCTATTCTCATTGCACCTCCTAGTTGATTAAATTAAAATTTTCGAAAAAATTTTGAATTTTTCGAAAATAAGCAACAGATAATAACAAACAAATTTCAGATTTTATTTATTACTCATTTTTTGCATAATTTACGTTTAAACAATATCAGATAGTAATTTATTTCTTTATTAAATCATTTACAATTATTAATTGAAATTAATTTGAACATAAAGCGAAGATAAATTAAAATTGCATTACATAAAACTAGAAAAGACAAAATAACTTGACTGTGTTTAAAGTTTTTATGAATGTCTTGCAGAAGAACGAATTTACCTTTACGGTATCCCGAAAGGTGAACGTTTTGAAGTTAATTTCATAGCAAAAAATGGCGATATTCTATTTCATTTTAATCCACGCTTCAAAGAAAAGAAAGTAAGTTAAATGAATATATTTTTACCCATTTCTTTCTTAAATATCTTTCTGGAGAATATATTTAAACGTGTACTGTGTACTATCTTCACTTTTAATACTTCTCAATTTTAATTTATTTTGTTACATTTTTTTTTTCTCAAATGTTTAGCTTATTATTATGTGCTTCAGGTAATACGCAATACAAAAATTGGTGATGTTTGGGGAGAGGAAGAACGTGAAGGCACATTTCCATTTAAGAAGGATGTTGGTACCGACATTGTCATACATAATGCACCTTATTCCATGCAGGTAAATCATTCATATCAAAACTTAGTAAATAATCTATTAAATTTGTAGATATGATAATATTTATAGATTAGGTAAGATGTTTTATTACTTTGTGCTATTTACGCTATTTAAAAAATCAGAGATATTTTATAATTAAATTTAATATATGCAAATCTAACCGTAAGAAGAATTTCTGGTTCCTTTTCTTTGAATTTTATGCATCATATTGTATTGTTTTTCATTCAAACATTTTTATTTATAGCAAAATTTAATATTTTTTTTTACTGAAACTATAATGAGCAAATTTATCAAAACTTTGCGTTTATTTTTATTAATGAATAACTGAAAGTGTTGTTAAAATTGAAGTAGATAACTGAATTAAATTAACATTTTATATAAGTTATAATTATTTGTTTTATTATGGACATGCAAAGTATTTATTGATCCTCTAAATCATATGCTCTTTCTAGGGAAAGAACTTATAAGAAATTATACAAAACTCTAATAAAATTTTTAGATATTTGTGGATGGCAAACGTTATGGTACATTTGCACACCGTACATCAAATCCTGGTGAAGACTATACGACCCTTCTAGTAGCTGGTGATTTTGAGCTAACAGGGATGGAATTCAGCATGTAATTGAAACATTTATGCTTTATTTTTTCGCTCATATTTAACCGCTTGTAATAATTAATTGTAAATTTTTTTTTTCGAATTTTTTCGTATTTATGTATAGCAGCTTAATTTGTTTGGTTTATTATTTCATAACATATGTAAATTCTTAGTAGCATTGTCTTCATCTTTAAAGCCTCTCTTAAAAGCGTAAACTTGTTCGGGATTTTGAAATTTATCAAAATCTTGCATTGCTTTTTATTTACGAATATTTGAAAGTGTTGTTAAAATCAAATTAGATAACTGAATTAAAATGATGTTTTAATTTATATTTGATCAGTTTTGTAGTGAATATTGAGTAACTGGAAGGCTATCCGTTATTATTTTATTGAATCAATATTTTGATATTAAAATAATTAAACAGAATTTTCAAGAATTGTCTATTCGTACAGCTTAATTGCATAGAACTTTTTCGTGCGTTATTACTATTTGAATTTGCATTAACTACTAATGCATGGCTACACTTTATGACTATTTGAATTTCGTAAATATTAGTTGTCACTGCATATTACGAAGGGATAATAAAATTAAATTGCAGAAAAGGAATAAAGAAAAAAATGTAGAAATGAAGTGCGAAAAAAATGGAATAATTAAAAGTGGAAACAAATATATGTGAAGAAGTGATTTTGTAAAGAAAGTTAAATAATGAAACTTTAAATAATCAGATATTATTTTGATGCAAAATTAATTCATTCCTTTTGAAGTCTTCAAAATCAACGATTTTATTGAAGTGTTAAATTTAAATCGGATTTCCAGTTATTTTTTTATATTTAAAGGGATTTCCATATACTATGCATTCTATATGCTTTGATATTTTATATTAATTTCAATCAATAAGATTAACTAATTAGTTAATAACCAATAATTTCATTATCGTATAGTGAATAATTGATTTCATTATCGTAGAAATTTCATTATTGTATAGTGAAAAATTGATGAAAATAGTTCGTCGTATGATTGTTAGCTGTTAATTGCAGTAAAATATCATAAAGTTAAATGTTTCTAAAAACTGTCAAAAAATCTTGAAAGGAAAAAAATTCGTCAAAAAAAACATTGGAGAAGGAAAAAAAAATGTCTCAAATTAATCAAAGTAAGATCTGAAATGGTTTCATTTGTGTATTGGTGGTCGATATATTATCAGAGAAGAGAAAATTCGTTTGATTCGATGTACCCGTAATCGACGTGTCCAAATGTCGCAATGTCAGTCAGTGTCACAGTGATGGTTGGTTAAGGCTTTGTATGATCGTGTGAAGTTTTGATGAACGGTTTAGCTTAATTAATTATTTGTTTGAGAGCCTAATTAGTAGGCCTTGTATTCTATGGTTTAATTGTGGTGAACTGTAAGAAAAGAGTCTTTTTTTTTATTAAAATTAGTGTTGATATATGATTTGGAGATTTAAATAAAAAATATGCCTAATAACCTTATGGATAAGATCACAGCTACACCTGAACACTACTGGTGGACAACGTGAGTTTCTAAGAGCAGCTGAAGATGCTGCAGATGATGTATGTTTGTGTGCAACAGCTTTATTGATAAGGGAATAACAATCATTAGATTGTCAATCATTAGTGTTCAGGTGTAGCTGTGATCTTATCCATAAGGTTATTAGGCATATTTTTTATTTCTAACTAAAATTCAGATATATTCTTTAGAATGAACTAATGTCTGAAGTTTTAAACGAGAGAAGGTTATTTCGATCGTTAATCAGTTCTGTGGACGTGGTTTTGTTTCTTGTATAATCGCGGTTATTTTCAGGTTTCAAAGATGGATCAGTTCCGGACTGGTGGACAACGTGAGTTTCTAAGAGCAGCTGAAGATGCTGCAGATGATGTATGTTTGTGTGCAACAGCTTTATTGATAAGGGAATAATGATAAAAGATAACAGTTGTGATGGAAGGACTGAGCTTTCTTTTGCAATGATCATATAATTTTTACTTTCAAAATTTGAAGCTGTATTTACTAATAAAAAAGTTCATTTGGGTACGTTTTGAACTAGGAGATAACTGATACTCTTATTGCAAGGTTTTTAAAAATAAAATATTAATTCGTATAAAAATGAAAATGATATGAACCACTTTGCTCTACCAGTGGTCATTATTTTAAAATGATACATAATAGGTGCTCAAATACAGGAGGTAATAATGATTTATATGTTTATTTCAATTGTAATTTTAGGTTTTGAGGCATACAAAACATTTTCTTCCTCATGTTGCACGGCTTTGTCTTATATCAACATTTATTGAAGATGGTATCCGTATGTGGTTCCAATGGGATGACCAAAGACAGTTTATGCAAGTAAAATTTTGACAGTACATTTTTTACACAATTTACAAATTTCTTGTAACTATAGGGGTGGATGGAATTGTTATTTTTAATATGATTAAGAAATTATTCTTATTAATTAGGGAGAATTATTCATTTTATCATTGTCACTCTATCTTTATATTGTTATGTACATATTATTATGATTGTCAAACAGCTACATGAAATCAGGGTTGTAGTTAGTAAACCCATTTTAGTTGAAAATTTCAATATATTTCAGGATTCTTGGTCGTGTGGGTGGTTACTTGCTACTTTTTTTGTCCTGTTCAATTTTTTTGGGCAAATCATTCCAGTTGTAATGGTTATGATTCGTAAAAGGGTCAGCTTCTAATTTTTTTTTTGTTTAATTTGTTCCAGTTTGTAAATGATGAGTTTGTAAGTAAAATTTCAGGTAGACATTGCATGCATTTTGCTAGCTTCTGTTGTTGCTTTACAAACAATCGCGTATCATATATTGTGGGATTTGAAATTTTTGGCAAGGTAAGCTTTTCTTTGTTCAATTAAACTCATTGATTTTTGGATCTGAATATCTGATCTGATGCTCGGTTGCTTGAAAATTATATAAGTCTAGTCTCCTTGATTGTACGAGGATCACTCAGATTTGTGAGTTACTGTTAAGTTACTAGCAATTTAAGGTTTGCATGTAGTGGATTTGTATCCTGGAAATACTTTTTTAAGGAAGATATTTTATGATGGATGTAAAAATGAGTCAACATTTTTTGTTACAGAAATGTTGCCGTTGGAGGTGGTTTGCTGCTTCTGTTTGCTGAGACGCAAGAAGAAAATAGAAGCCTTTTTGCTGGTGTTCCACAAGTTGGTGATGCAAACCGTGGAAAATCTGCAATGTTACTTACTGGTATGGTAATTTTGATTTGAAATAATTCAATTTTTATCCTGGGCTCAGAAATATGGAGTGTGAAAGACTTTTTCCTTGATGAATGAAAGAAATACACTGTTCATCATAACTAGAAAATTGGAATTAAGTCTGGCATTTTTCACGTTTTACTTCCATCAATCATATGTTAGATTATAAATGCAATTAGTTTATTTTCAAATCCAATGCATTCTTTTTGCTGTCTTCAGGACGTATATTTCTCATATTCATGTTCCTGTCATTGATTCACTTCGAATGGAATTTTGTAAAAATTATCGAAATAGTTGTTGGAGGAGCTTTGATGATACTTGTGCTTGTTGGATACAAAACAAAAGTGAGTACAGTTTTTCGAGAGTAATATATCTTATCTGGGAGAAAGAACATATTAATTGAATCAATCACAAAAATGCATATTCAAAATGCACTGTTACTAGGAAAGATTATCTCTGATAAAAGTTGAAAGTGTTTAAAATTGACTAATTATAACGATGTTTATTATTTGTAATTTATATCACTCACATATTAGTTCTTCGAATATCTTTTTATTAATTCAGTAAGGAGTTGTTAGTGAAAAATTACATATGTATTTTCAGCTTTCCGCTTTTGTACTTGTTATATGGCTATTCGGTTTAAATCTATATCTGAATGCTTGGTGGATTGTGCCAGCAGATCGTTTTTATCGTGATTTCATGAAATATGACTTCTTTCAAACAATGTCAGTTATTGGCGGACTGTTGCTTTTGGTGGCCTATGGTCCCGGTGGTGTTTCGGTTGATGATTACAAGAAACGATGGTAAAAGTATAATCTTTTAATTATTATGTGTAAGAAGCTTTTCTGTTGTGATTTTTCGACTAAATGAATGCATGATTAGTTATTATTTAATTATTAGATCAGAAACCAACTAACTTTTCTTGAAAGCGAGAAAAATGAAATCTAGGCAGACCTTTTTCCATTTATTTCTAATGAATAATTTTTCAAGGAAGGTAGTTGTAAGATCGGCTTATTTGTGATTATGAATTTTTAAATTTATGAATGCAAATATTAGCTTTAGTAGGCGCTACAGTATAAAATAAAAAGAAAGAAACCATTTATTTTTAATATATTTGTATGGTGCAGTACGCTTGTTATGTTTTTATAGTAGCTTTTGTTTAATACGGTAGCAGTAAATCCGAGAAATTCTTGGATGTTTGCATTATTTTCGTATTTTTCAATATTTTATAATCATTCGTGGCAATTCTTAGCGCGGATTCAGTTTTTTTCTTCGGTTGAAAAGTCATCATATTTCTTAATTAAAATGCATCGCTTTCTGTGTAGACATGTTGAGGTTTCAATATAATTTGGTTATTTTATACGTTGGTGTCCCCCATTTATGATTCCTCGACATAATAACAGATGGGTATTATTCGCGGGCATATAAGAGATATTGCTTGCCTTTGAATTTTATTTATTGTTCCTTCCTCTTTACAAAAGATAATTTTTACTTGTTTGATAACTTCAATTTTCAGGACAGGTCATTTTTACATTGTAATTTAATTTATGAAGTATTTCTTGGAATTATCGTCATTGTCTTCTTGTTTGTTGCGCACATATTTTTTGATGTTTTACTCATTCTTGCAAACTTTTTTCTTTTGTAACGAACATAAACAAAATACATGTTGTTCCTTTCACTTTTCTGATTTCACAACTTCATAGTAAATGTCCGTATGACCCTATAGTTCTCCTAGGCAAATTGCCACGACGATTATTACATTGATACCGTTGTGTAGTATCAATGTAATAATCGTCGAAATGAATAATTAGAAATGAAATAAATGTGAAAAATTAAAAAATTCTTTCACGGAGCATGCATCGGGAGTTTTTTCTTCGCTGGGTGTCTCCTTGTTCAAATGGGTTCAAATGGGTGTCTCGACAAAGACTGAAAGGAGAAAATTCGATAAATTTATCTTTTCCTGCTCGGGCAAAAGCTGCTTCCCTACATAGCTGAAATTAATGATGTAACACCGTTGAAGTTGTCAGCTCCAAAATAGTCGCTGAAAAAGAGAATATGCTTACAAGCTGATTTTTTTTTCACTCTGTTTCGCCATACGAATCCCTCATCACTCCAAACGTTTTAATAACGGAAATGTACTTCATTCTTTAGGGATCATCGTTCAACAGTATAAGTAGTATTTGATGCTAAGCATTCTCTTGCAATACCAGCCATTCATTCCAATTATTAAAACATTTTGAAATGATTGCATAAATGAGAATGTACTTGCTTTAAACTGCGCAAGCCGTAGTCTAAGAAAAAAAAATTTGACTGGACATAGCGGCTTTCATTCTATTCGAAATTGATCAAATTAGAAAATATAATTCAATTCACCTATTGAATCAATGCCTCTGTTTTTTTTCCTCTTGTCCTATTTCTTTCTCTCCCTTTGTTTTGTGGACTTATCATGCTAAACTTTTTTTAAGAACATAATATTTCCAGTCTTTTTTTTTAAACGAAGATAACTTACATCAGAGAAGGAAAGGAAAAGACATACAAGGAAGTGTTTATCTCAGCGACGAGAGTACGACGGAGTATGTCGCAGTGAGACAAAGATAACCATCAAATATGAACAGTGTTATATGGAGTGTGTTGTTTGTAAAAATAACTAGGATGAAAAAGCATTCATGTAAAATATAGATGATAGGACACAACAGGATGAGAGGAGGAGGAAAGCGTAGACATTTTGGACAAAACCAAAAACATAAACACTTTCAGAAAAACAGCGACTGCTTCACAACTCCGAATTGCAAATATTACAGATAATGCAAATTATGCAGCTCTACAAAGAAAGTACGTCAGTGACGCCGAATATGCACAATTACTTGTTCCAACGTGGGAATTTTCAAAACAAAAGTACACACAAACATTTTTCAAATGAACACGTTCCATGCTGCCAACAAATCGCAGATACGAACGCACTCAACCTAGCCCAAGATTCTTTTTAATAGTCATCGAGTCTACAGAGACATAACCGTCCTCTGGAACTGAGTTTATATTTTTAGATATATTCCATCTAAAGCTAGGGATATAGGAACACTACAACATGCGTTTATTATTTTACTGAGTGGTTATACTTCAAACCTTCTCGGCCAATTTAATCTGAAATTTTCAATTTCCGGACTTATTGTCCACTTACCAATCAAGCATATTTCGGCATCAGCTCTGGATGGATAACGATATGCTTGATAACATTATCAGAATACACAATAAAACCTTCTGATACCCAGAAATTAAGAGACTCTTTTCTTTAAGAGACAAATTTATATCACATTCCGGAACTTTACCTAATTTTACCTCGAATATCTATTATTTGTTTGCGAGCAATTTCAAACTAGCAAAAAGAGGAATTCTGATTTAATGCAATTATATATTGTTGATGATCTGGAAAAAAGCCAAGGAAAAAACATAAATGGAAGTAAAAATTTACATTTCTGCTAACAATTACAATTCTTTCCTTCTTGTCCCGCTGACTGTGCTGAACGAGGCAAAGTTTGTTTTGGTTGAACACCTGTATCAGCTTGATTCAAATCGAGACTGAAAATTAAGAAAAAAAATTAAGCAGAATCCAGAAGTGAATAATTTCGAATACCATCTGTCATATTTGTTCTGGAGTAACGTATACTTGCAATGAGCACTATAACATTGAGCACATAGCAATAGTAATTAAACAGGACTATTTGCTTAAAGAAAAACAAACCTGCCATCCTTAATATTTTGATAAATTTTTCTTGCAGTATCCAAGAAAGCATCTTCCACGTTATCACCACTGAAAAAATGATGCCATCATATAAAGATTATATAATAGATTCGTAAAAATCAGATTACATTACTTTTCGTTTTCCTTGCCAATCTTGAACTCAGAAAAATTTGCCAAAGGCAAAAGTAAAGCATGATTAAAAAATCAAAAAAGCCGAGCAAACTCATACGTTTTTGCAGAGCATTCCAAAAAAGTTAAACCATTTTCATCTGCAAATGCTTTTGCTTCCTCAAATGTGACATCCCTTTGTCCATCTAAATCACTTTTGTTTCCGATCAGAAATATCACCTAAAAATAAATCACCCTTATGTAATTCAAAAAACGTATAATGATTTTTAATATCAGATAAGGCGGAAATAATTCAACTCTCTTAGGATAGTTGTAAATTTGATGAGGTAATGTCAACAGCCTGACCGGAATGACATCATCCGACTAATTCAGGTAACCAATTATCAGTAATATCTATTGTGCAGCTGTCATTTTCAAAAGACGCGGAATGAATTGAACTGCGTGACTGCCCACTGCTGGTGATGAAAACGAGGTAAACAGACCCTACTGATGCATTGTTTGCTGAGAATATCTTTGAGTCAAGTTCAAAGAATACGGCAAGAATGGGGACATTGTGCGAATACCGTATTTGGATGCGTAAGATTTCTGGCATCTGCTAGCCAACTGCTCAGATGATTGTAAGTTGAACGTCGCGTGATATCATAAACCATCAGAGCACCAGCAGCACCTCGGTAATATGAACGAGTCACTGCCCGAAATCTGGCAAAAATATTAATCACGATAAAGTTCCGCATTGATTGATCAGTATAATAAATCCATCAGAAGCCAATACCGATATATTCAAACAGAGAAAAATAAGAAAAGATCCAGAAAATGTAATACAGTTGAAATCACTGACTAAAGCTAAGATATAACTCAAAATAAATCAATGCTGACCTAGAATTATGTGAGGAATTTCTGCGATTATCTATCAGTTGCTTATTGCAAAGAATCTGAGTGCAATTGTGCCTATAGGATCTTAATGCTCTTTGTCGACTTTCTAAAATATCTGTTGACCTGTTACCTTCCACTGTCTAAACTATTTGTGACAAAAATCTTTGGCTATTTAAAAGTTATAAACAAACTATGAATTCGGAAAATTCAAGGGAAGAGCGAGAAATATTACTGATATCAAATGAAAGATTCAAACCTTTCTTGACCAGCTGTATCCCATATTTGTAATTTGATTTTCTGTCCACTCACTTCGATAATACGTGTTCCAAATTCAACGCCTATTGTATGAGGACAGTCGGCCATAACTGCAATCATCGAAATGGATAAATATCAGATGGAGTTCATATTTAAATTATTTCTCGACAAGCAGCAGTTGAAGATGATTTTTGTAGGGAAAAACACTTAAAGAATTCTTCTACAACATATAAAAAGTTCAATGTTAGAGTCGGAAATATGGAGCCGAGCATTTTCATCAAAATCTAAATAGAATGGGCTGCTCTTGTAATACTGCACACTACTTTTTGCTGCATGACGACAATGAGCCATGACTGCAGTGATGGAAATGGACAAAAACCAGACTACAATTAGCTCAAGTTCAATAAACCAATGATTCCAAATGGGTATACATCATAATTAGCATACATCATAATCCAGTTAAGAATTTGTGAAGCATCATAGTCAAAACCCAAATCCTCAATAAATTTTGAACGTAAGGGGCCAAACAGGATTTAACAAACAAACCCAGTCACGTGTTTGTGAAGCAAAATTATATGAACACAAATGTCTACTTGGGTTAGCGTTTAATTCAAAGGTATTGTAGGGAAAGAAGATACTGCAAGAAACTTACACTTCTTTTCGGTGAATTGATGCAATAAGCACGATTTTCCAACGCCCATATCACCAATGATAATATACTTGAAAATATATGAATAATTGTAAGGCCCATTCGATGACATTACTTTTCGATCAAATTAATTAATCTGTAAACATCGCATTATTCACTAAAAAGAGAAAAAAAGACAGCAAAATTCTCACAACAAAACATTCATGTGTAACATTTGTCTACTGTATGTGTGCCGTGATATCAAGACATTAAACTCTCAAAAACTTACAATAATCTTTTTTTTTTTCAATAAACTTTCAAAAAACTACCTATTAAACCTTAACGATCAAGTAGCGCTAAATTTGAATAGCTCATACGATTAATTCCTCCCTTATCCTGCTACTCTATTAACAGAATCTAATATATAAGTAAACAAACATGTACGCATTCACACTACGATTATATATTCTACACGGAATGTCAATCTGTTCAAATTAACTCTTCTTTTGCCATATTTGCTATACACATGTAGTTTACGCAGAAACGTGACGCACTTAACCTTTGACCTACAGAATACTAATCTAATCCCAATCGATGGCCCCAAAGTTAGTACCATCCCTTTCATCCTCCGGGAAATGACAATCAACGGTGATCACCACACCGCGATGAAATCAACTAAAGACCGAATGAACGAAACACGGCCCTTGGCGTTAGCTAGCAGACGATATGAAATATTTTAGCCTCAGATATTTTTCAATGTTGCTGGATAAGTTTGTATGGCGGTCACTTTATGATCTTTCTAATCATTTAAAGTCAATTTCAATTAGCGAAACTTCAATCAGCTAAAAGCTCGACAGCAGGTTAGACGTAAACGTTTCGCAGAATTTTATTGATTTTCAATTGGTATAATCTTTGTGTAAATTCATTCAATTGAAATAATACAACAAAAACAGAGAGACGATAATGAAAAAAAAAATGGCAATAATATAATTATATCTGAGAAGTCAGTAAAATTTCTACAATAGAATTATAAAACAACATAGTACAAAATATGTGACAATTTAATAAAAGACTTTGGAAAAGGAAATCATTTGAAATAAAATGAAGTGAAAATTTAATTCTGAGAATTCGAAAATTGAATACATTTTCAGGAACCTATTAGCATGAATAATTCTCATCTTGCATGATTATCTAATTGTAATGTATCAGCAAATAAATAAATCATTGTTACGGTACGTTAATATGGGCATTAAAAATGAATGAAGTGGAATTAATATTCAATAATAATTAGAAAATATTGTAAAGGATGTGAAAATATGCTGAGCAAATATGAATATTTCGAACAAAAAAATTGGTCATAAATTTTGACTTTTTTTTTTCACTTCTGTAAATTGTTAGTAGGTATTGATTGAATTTAATTTAAATTTATTTCGAAAAAAAAAAACAATTGATCCATTTTGCTAACGATTGATTATGAGATGTTATGAAAAAAAAACAAGTTTTAATATTTTCAAACTTAATCAATAATATTAAATTTTCAATAAATTAGCTAAAATTCTCATCTTCATCATTGACGGCAATGCTTTGTGAATCAACATTATCATCACCATTCATATCGTTATCATTATCATCATCGTCATCATCATCACCATCATCATCATCACTATCATCAATATCATCACTATCAACATTTCCCTCAATAGCATCGCTCTCCGTTGCATTGTTACTCGACGAAGTCTTTTCAATTGTAGCATTTGTATTTATAGTATCTCTGTCGTTATTGATATTACTATCGCCTTGATTGGTTTCATCATCGAAGAATACATTATTTTCACCCCACATAAAATCGATATTAGCTGATCTATCAAAAATACTGCAACTTGGACGATCAGTTTCAGGATTGCATTCACTGATTATAAGTTCACTGTAAGTTGGTGCCTCTAAAAGTTCATCAATGAAATGTTCACGCATGCCTTGACCAAGAAAAACTTCATTCTCAAATGTTCGAGTTTCTATTCCTTCGCTAAATTCATCATCGCTAGTTTCCACTCCATCTAATACAATTAATGCTAATCCAAGCGAATAAATATTCAATGCCCATTGAATAATTTGTAGTATGTGATCAATCTAAAATTAGCAATACGTGATGCGTGATAATACGTGATCAATTTAAAATTAGCAAATTTGTTGTACGCGATAATACCGATATTTTTATAATATTTTTTTTTCTACAATAATTTACAATATGCAATAATGCATGATTAAATTAAAATTAACGATTTCTAGTATATGGTGATAATACATAACCAAAACTGAAATTAGCAAATAAATCATAATTCAAGAAAAATTCAAACTTAGCAATAGAATCAAGTAAAAATCTTGTAATAGAAAAAAGCAATCAATCAATTTTGTTGCACATTCTTTTGCTTGTAATATGATTACGACATTGTTCGCGATTATTCCAACATGATTACATTTTTTTTTTCAGATTTCAGAAGTTTAAAATATGATTTATATTTTGCAGATTATTGAAAATATCACTTAGTGAGGAAGAAATAAACAGTTGAGAAAAATCAAAAAACAAAAAAATAAATTTTTTTAAATTTTTTTTTACATACCAACTATTTCAATGTATATCGAATTTTTGAAAAATATACCACAATATAAATTATTCGTGCACTGCTGTGCTGAAAAGTTTTGCTATGACGCGTCATCATCGCGACAATTGTTTGAACAATCCCTGCTTGTACTAAAATTAGTAGCAATATCGTCGAACAATCCGATATCAACTGTAAGTTAATTAATAATTATGCAAAAAAATGAAGAAACAAATTTTAAAAACTTTCAAACTTTGATTCAGTTATGTTTATCATAACAAAATACATAAACATCCTATCCTCTATAAGTCTTACATATTTATGAGAAAAAAAAACGAAATGAAGGAAATTGATGAACAAAAATGGAAATAAAAAAAATAAATAATGAATAAATCAATTTAAGGTATTTTATTCTATCATGAATCACTTTTCGTAGCAAAATTCAACATCAACATCAAAGAGTTCAAGTCGAAAGAATAGAATATAGGAAATCATTAGCAATATATGTATATATAAATGAATTTTAATTTAATTTTTCTGCTTTCAACTTTAAATTTTGCAAACAATTTAACTTCAATATAGCGACAGTTTTCAGTTGTTCAGAAATGTTGCATTACTTATTTCGCTGATGCTAATTCTTGCATCATTCATTACGACAAATAAATGAACAAAAGTTGAATGAAAAATGAATGAATGAAAGTTGAATTAATGGATAATTCATAAAATTGAATAATAATTCAAGTTGAATATTTCGGAAAATTGGATAATTCATAAAATTGAAGTTCCATTTTTATCAATTTTCATATTAATTCGTTAATTATTATGTTATTATAAATAATGAGAGGAGAGACCTGTATGATAAGTATAATTACGCATCGTTGAAATCGTTCATGTTTACAAACCCAAATTTGTAGCAAACATGTCGCAATGGAATTAATCCACAAGAATGATTCATTACCCGAAAGAAAGTCGATTTTTGTTGAATAGAGCTTGTACATCTGTAGTTGCTTTATTGTTTAATTATTTAAATAATTAAATGAAATTTTTACAAAAATATTCAATTCAGCAAATTTATTCCTGCAATTAATGCATTACTATTACAATTAACTAAATGTGCAGTATTTCCTCTATTTTTTTTAATTATTTATATCATTTAGTTATGTTGAATAATTCGATTTCATCCTCAATTTTAAGAATATTTTTTGCACTAATTTCCATTTCAAATTAATTTAAAGAATTAGAATGTTTCTCATAATTTCATCTTAATAAGATTTCAAATCTGATTATTGGCAAAATTATTGATCCAATTTGATTCTTAATTTAATTTTATTAAAAACTTAATCTAATCTTTTATTAGAATTTTTTTCAAACTTACTATTGTTGTGAAAAGTATTTCAACAATAACAATAGCAATAAGCGTATAGGCTAAATTAGTAAGCGAACGAAGTGGGCCCATTATTGTTACAGATTGGGTATGTAATGGCGTATGCTTTGTTATTGTTCGAAAACAGAATACGATTGATTTTGCAGATAAAACGGTTAAGCTCACTGCAAGGAAAAAGTAACTTCCTGAAAAAAAAATCATTTCATTCAAATTTCAAAAAGAAGTAAATTCGAATATTAATCATTTAAATTTAAGTATTAGCACCATCTAATTAGTCACTCATTGTGAAAAAATATTTCTGTCAGCCAAAAGTGTTTCCTATTAAAGAAATTAATTAATTTTTCGTTTTATTTTTTCAGAGTATTTTCATATTAAAATACATATTTCATTTTTTTGTAAGTATTTTTACTTTTAACAGTATAGGTTATATATGGCAAAAAGCATAGGAAAAGAAAAGATGAAAAAAGGAGAAAGGAAAATTTTTTTGAGATCATTTTTAATAATTTGTGAGAATATTAATTGAATTCATTAATTTGCTATTGTTGCAGACTGTTAGCTTCCTAATTATAATACAATCAAATAAATAAATGAAAATAAAACAAAACAATTTTTACCATTAATTAAAAAATTTTCAACGCTCCTATTCATAGTGAAGTACAGCCGGCCGGTAAACATAGCTTCACAAAACAGATAAATTGTATGGATGGATGAATTTAGGATGATAATTGATACAACAGCTTGAAGCTTCTGAAATTGATAGCATATTAACAGCAAACGATAGATGAAAATTTAATTTAAACAGTAAATATTTTATTAAATTAAACATTGGAAATTTTGAAATAGCTTCAGCATTTAAAAAATGCATATTGCCCATTTAGATTATTTATCAATTTTAATTCACTAAACAGGACTAGACATAAAAATGTGCATAGAAATAGTTTAAATTTTTGAGAATGAAATGATGTTATTATCTTTTAAATACATCAACAAATTCTGTTTGATAATTTAAATGAAATTAAAAATAATTAAGCGTACCAAAAACATAATTCGTCGTTCTTTTCGATAATGATAATAAATAAATGCTAAACAAATTGTATAAATTAATGCAATTCCCGTATGGCCAATTCGTTTTGCATTACTGAATACGTAATAGGCGACATCCGTAGCAATACAGAGAGTTGATAAGATTAGGCCACCATAAAACAATAATTTAGTTTCGTTTTTATCTAAAATATATTTATAATTTAAAAGAACAAAAGTTTAGAATTTTTAAGATTTGAATTTTTTTCCGTCATTTCAAAAATATATCAAATTTACACTTTAGAAGAGCAACATGCAATGCATTTATAATCAGCCAGCCTACAATATTGTTACATTTAATCAGATATAATTATATTTTATGTACACATATTTACAAAAAAAAATTTCAAATTTTTTTTTTTTGTCTGAATGTTAAAGTACATTTTTCGGATATTGGCAGAAGGAAAAAAACTGATGAATTGTAAATTATTAATATTAATACCAGTATTATTAGCTTGTTTAGCTTGTACACTGCTAATTCCACGTTGAGCATCCGCTCTAAATCGGATACGACATAAAACTTCGGCCAAAAATGCTTTTTTTCCAAAAACATTCACAGGATATGCGCAGGTAATAAGCCGTATACCATGAATTACAAATGATGCAAATAATAAATGCACAACCTAAAATGATGGAAGTTGTTTTTCTAGAAAATAATTTTTTGAATTTTGAAATTCAATTAAAAAATTGAAAATATTGATGTTAATTCCATAAAATTATTAGAAATGTAAACAAAATATATGCATACATTTCCTTTTTTACAATATATTCAGGTACAATTTTCGATAAGCAATTTTCGGGAAAGGTATTACAAGAAAAAATAAAAAAACATATGCGAAATATATACATACATTTATAACTTGACATAAGTTATCGCCGATCAAATTATTCCATCAAAAAATTTTGATTATTTTTATTTTCTTATTCTGCAATTTATGCAGCAAACAAATAACTGACCAGTCTTATTATGCCAATAAAAAAACATCATTAATTTTTTGGTCATCAAAATTTTTTTGAGTAAAATTTAAATAAATAGTTTTTTTCAATGAACACAAATTAAGCATAATTACTTCAGTTTCATCGACTGAATTAAATTTGCTTGCTGGTATATCACTTTTTCGTCCCATAAGCATAATTAGCAAGTAAGTACTGTATGCATACGTTATTTCTTGAACAAACTGACAAACATTCATGATGATAACTGCACGCAAAATATGCGTGTTGCATGCATTGCGAAAATGCCATTGCATGTATGCAACTGATAACGATGAAAATGTACAGCAAACTTGTTGTACGATAAACGATGAAGAATAGCTGCAAAATGTAAATATATTTCATCATTTCTTTTTTTTCTCTTTCCTTCCTTCAAATCAATTATAATTATATAGTAAGCTTATTATGTAAATTAATTTAAGTATATAATGATAAATCTATGTAATCTAATACCTAAATAACATAAATGAACAAAAAAAACGTTTATGCATGTATTCCAAATATTTAAAATGAAAAAAATTTGTATGTAAATGTCAAATAAATTTCACATATTAAATTAATTGAGGAAAGTTAGCAGTGGCAATTTTTTTTGAAGTAAATAATTAGCTTACCTTAAATGAATGATAAATGATGAATGGTGCATGTAAAGATAATTAATGTTAATGAATAATGA